GGAAGAGCGTATAGGTGGGTTGGAAGGGGAAGTCTTGGATTTGAAAGAGCAGATAACCGCCCTTAAGGCTGAGAAAACACAGCAGCAGGCTTAACCGTCTACCTCTCAAGCATCCACTTATCCCGACGTCCCACAAGATTTGTATGAGAAGTGGGTCCATGCCAAGGCTTATCTTGACATATACAGGGGTTTGATGGCAGCCGGAAAAGCTTCTGAGGCGGAGTTTTAGGATACGCATGTTAAGGCACGTGCAACTCGTGTCGCTTGCGGCTATGACCACGGCACGCCCGGGATGGATGATGACAAACAGGATTTGGACGGTATTGAGCCAGATGCTTGGTACGATGACGAGTGTTCAAATGAGGGGGGGCGCCGGTGGTGATGGCGACAGGGGAGTTGCGCCCGAGTAGCGTGCTTTTCTCTGTACTTTTGTTCCCTTTTTTTTTGTGTCTTGTGGGCACTTGTTTGGCCCTTGTAAGATGATATTTTGTAATGATAATACTTTTGTTTTCTGTTCTTGAACTTCTTTTCTTCGCATGCTTTTTCCTTTGTAAGAGTTCCTGACTTAGTTGAATCGAACGAGGTCGGATGTTAATGAATTCGACCGAAGTCGAATGTTAAATAATTCAAACGAAGTCAGATGTTAATGAATTTGAATGAAGTCGAATGTAAATAAATTCGAGCGAGGTCGAATATTTGACTCTTAAGTGATTTGAACGAGGTCGAATGTAAATAAATTTTGAGTGAAGTCGAATATGGGTCGATTCGAGCGAGGTCGAATGTAAATAAATTCAAGCGAAGTCAAAATGTGAGTCGATTCGAGAGAGGTCGATGTTCGATTGTTAAGTGATTCAAACGAGGTCGAATGTAAATAGATTCGAGCGAAGTCGAATGTGAGTCGCTTCGAACGAGGTCGAATGTTCGACTCTTAACTGATCCGAACGAGGTCGAATGTTAAAAAATTTGAGCAAAGCCGAATTAGATTCAAGCGAGGTAAAATGTTTGACTCTTAAGTGATTCGAACGAGGTCAAATGTAAATAAATTCGAGCGAAGTCGAATGTGAGTCGATTCGAGCGGGGTCGAATGTTTGACTCTTAAGTGATTAGAACGAGGTCGAATGTAAATAGATTTGAGCGAAGTCGAATATGAGTCGATTCGAGCGAGGTCGAATATTTGACTCCTGGTGTAATGTATGAACTTGGAGGATATGAAAAACTCATGTGTCTGTGCATTTCGCTCTATTTATACATTCATTGGAGAAGTTTACATGTCTTTGCTATTTTCATGCATACATTGGGGAAGTCCCAGTTTATCTAGTCCCTTCATTGATTGACCTGGAAAAGCAATTTGAGAGGTCGAGCGATGAACTTATACTTAAACTTCGAGACGCTCTCTTCGTCGCCTCGTTAAAAACCTCCCCGGGAAAACCCAATTGGGACAATACTCGGGTAAGGGAAAAAAGAGTACGACTCATGAGACGTCTATCCTTAGAAGTTGAAGTATTTGAGGTGGGCGACGTTCCAATTGTTTGGTAGTAATTTTCCTTCCATTGTTTCCAGCTGGAATGACCCTTTGCTTACTGCCGCCGTGATTTTGTATGGGCCGTCCGAATTGGTTCCCAGTTTTCCCTCTCGTGGGTCTTTGCTCGCTTGTATTTTGGCTATGAGCACGTAATCCCCGACTTTGAGTGGCCTAATTTTTGCTTTTTTGTTGTAGTACCGCTCTGCCTGTTGTTTTTGAGCTATCATTCTTACGTAGGCCATGTCTCTCCGCTCTTCGGCTTCGTCGAGGTCTTGCCTTCCGTTCTTGTTGTTGCTTGGACCGCTTTCATTTGAGTATCTTAGGCTTGGTTCCCCAACCTCAACTAGTATTATTGCATCAGTCCCATAGACTAGTGAGTATGGAATTTCCCCCGTGCTCGTCTTTAGCGTGGTGCGATATGCCCATAACACTTCTGGCAGCACTTCTGGCCACAGTCCCTTGGCGTTTTCGGGTTTCTTTTTCATGATATTCAATATTTTTTTGTTGGAGGATTCCGCATGACCGTTGCTTGCAGGATGATATGGTGTGGAGACTATCCTTTTGATGTGCCATTTTTTGAAGAACTCGGCGATCTTTTTTCCAATGAACTGGGGACCATTGTCGCAGCTGATTTCTTTGGGGATACCGAAGCGGCATATGATGTTTCTCCATATGAACGTGATTACTTCTTGCTCGCGTATTTGGGCGAATGCACCTACTTCTACCCACTCGGAGAAATAGTCAGTTAAAACCAAAAGGAATCGTACATTACCTCGTCCTGCCGGGAGGGGTCCGACGATGTCCATTTCCCATTTGATGAAAGGCCAGGGCGAGGTGACTGAATGAAAGTGTTCGCCTGCTTGGTGAATCATGGGGGCGTATCTTTGGCATTGCTCGCACCTTTTGACGAAGTCGGCGGCGTCCTTCTTCAATGTTGGCCAATAGTAGCCTGCCCGTATGAGGCATCTGACGAGAGCTCGGTTGCCAGTGTGAGCTCCGCAGTGGCCCTCGTGTACTTCTTCGAGGACGCGTTGTGTTTGATTTGGCCCTAAGCACTTTGCTAGGGGCCCACCAAATGTTCTTTGTACAAGTCGTTATTGACGACGCTATACTTGGCCGCCTACATTCGAAGCTTCTTGTCTTTATTTTTGTCGGGTGGGAGTGCTCCGTCCTGCAAGTATGAGATAATGCGATTGCGCCCGTCCCAAATTAGGTTTATAGATCGTACCTCGACTTGGTCTAGTGATGAATGGAGGAGAGTGACCACGTCCCCCTCTCCGGTTATGCTTTTGGTGGCCGCTGCCAATTTGGCAAGCCCGTCCACTTCGATGTTCTACGCTAGAGGTATTTGATCAAGCTGGCATTCATCGAACTCGGGTAATAGTTTGTAAATTTTAGCCTGATATTTCTGTTACCGTTGTTCCTTAATTTGGAAAGTCCCTGTGACCTGATTGACGACGAGTTGCGAGTCATATCGAAGGATGACTCGCCGTGCTCCGTATTTGAGTGCTAATTTTAACCCTGCAATAACGGCCTCATACTTGGCCTCGTTGTTAGTCATATCAGGGCATCGTATGGATTGGCGAACCATTTTGCCTATTGGGACCTCGAGCACGAGTCCCAGTCCACATCCTGATGCGTTAGAAGCGCCATCGGTGTACAAGACCCATTGGTTGTGTACTTTGGTAGAAGTAATGGCGGTTTCCCTTTCGACTTCGGACATTATCTTCGCACTGACGTCGGCGACGAAGTCGGCAAGAACTTGCGACTTTATTGCTGTTCGCTACTGATAGGTTATATCGTGCTCGCTCAGCTCTATGGCCCACTTGGCCAATTTGCCCGACCATTCGGGTTTGTGCAAGATACTCCTTAAAGGAAAAGTCGTGACCACCGAGATGGGGTGGCACTGGAAATAAGGTCTAAGCTTTCGTGAAGCTACGACCAGAGCCAGAGCTAACTTCTCGAGGGGGGGTACCTTGTTTTAGAGCCGACCAAGTTTTGCTAATGTAATAGATCTGAGATTGCGTACCTTTATTTTATCGTACCAGGACTGCACTTACTGCGACATCGGACACAACCAAGTAGACAAGGAGGCGTTCTCCGGGTTCTGCCTTAGCGAGCAATGGTGGCGAAGACAGGTAGGCCTTTAGTTCTTTCAAGGCGTTGACGCACTCGGAATTCCATTGGAGTCGGTTATCCTTTTTGAGTACGCCAAAAAAATTGTGGCACCTATCGGAGGACCGCGAGATGAATCTTGACAGGGCGACTATCCGCCCGGTCAGCTTTTGCACTTGCTTTTTGCTGGTTAGATTTTCTGGGATTCCTTCTATGGCCTTGATTTGGTCGGGATTGACCTCAATGCCTCGTTGTGATACTACGAAGTCGAGGAATTTTCCAGATGTCATGCCGAAGGCACATTTCTCTGGGTTTAATTTCATGTCGTACCTTCTGAGTATTTCGAAGGCCTCCCTCAAGTGGTCGATATGGTCTTCCTTTCTCTTTGACTTGACTGACATGTCGTCAATATATACTTCCATGGTCTTGCCGAGTTGATTTTTGAACATTTTGGTCACCAGCCTCTGGTACGTTGCCCCCGCGTTTTTTAACCCGAACGACATCACTCTGTAGCAGTACGTCCCCTAATGGGTGATGAAGGTGGTTTTTTCCTGGTCCTCCTCCTCCATGAGGATTTGGTTGTAGCCCGAGTAGGCATCAATGAAACTCAGCAGGTCGTGCCCGGCTGTGGCATCGATGAGTTGGTCGATGTGGGGCAGCGGGAACGAGTCTTTTGGGTAGGCTTTATTCAGGCCTGTGAAGTCCACGCACATTCTCCACTTACCGTTCTTCTTTTTCACCATTACTACATTGGCGACCCACTGAGGGTATTTGGATTCTCTGATAGAACCGTTCACAAACAATTTCTCGACCTTTTCACGAACTGCGTCATCTATTGTAGAGTTGAACTTTTGCCTGATTTGCCTTACTTGGGGGGTAAAATGGGTCGACGTTCAACTTGTGAGTTGCTATATCCTTTGGGATACCTGGCATGTCTGCACGGGAAAAAGCAAACAGGTCTACGTCATTTTTTAAGAATCGATGAAATTTACATGGATCTTGGAGTTTATGGCCGATGAAAACTTTCTTGTTGTGGTCGTCGTCATCTAGTTGGACGGGGTCAGGGTCCTCTACAGTTGACCCTGTGGCTTCTATGATTTCAAGGTCGCTGATGATATCTTTTTTTTTTCATCGCCATCCGACCCCGACTTTGTTAATTTCTATGCTTCCTCGGCTTTTCCTTTCAACTGTTGGGTGTATGTGCAGTCTTGTGAGGTAGCATTCTCGGGCCGTGAATTGCTCTCCCGGGATGCAGAATACTCCCTAGGGGGGGGGGGGATTTAATGACTTGGTACAAGCTGATGGAGACGGCCTTCATGGAGTGTATCCATGGTCGGCCTATGATAGTGTTGTATGCCATATCCTAGTCCATGATGTAGAACATGTTCTCCAAGGTGACGCCGCCGGCCAAGACGGACAGCGTGATTTCTCCAGATGTCCGCTCAACTGCATTGTCAAAACCTGTTAGTGTGATGCAACGTGGCACTATCATGTCCTCGAGTTTCATTTGGGTGAGAACTCGAGGATGGATGATGCACGCGCCGCTTCCATCATCGACCATGATACATCTTATATCAGTATCAAGAACACGTAAAGTAATGACAAGGGCGTCATAGTGAGGAAAGACCAAACCGTGGGTATCCGACTTATCGAAGATGATACTTTCTTCGAGTTCGTCATACGTTTCGTGGCTGATTGACCGTTTGATCTTGTGAGTGGTGGTGAACTTCACGTTGTTGATAGATGCATCGTCGCCTCCTCTTATGATCATTTGAATGGTCTGAACCGGGGAAGGTGGTTTGGGCGGCCCCTGATGCTGTTCTCGCCCTCGGGCGAAGTTGGCCCTCCCTCGATCACTCATCAACTCTTTTAGGTGCCCTTGGTGAAGCATGTGCACGACCTCCTATCTAAGGGCGATGCAGTCCTTGGTCTTGTGACCCCGTTCCTGGTGAAATTCGCAGAGGGCGTTTGACTTTCTGGTGCTTGGGTCGGATTTCATCTTCTGTGGCCACTTTACCTTTGGGCCGAGATTTTCCAATGCGTAGACTATTTCTGAGGGGGAACACAAAAATTGTGAGTTGATAATAAGGGGGCATACCTCTTTCATTTCGGTGGATTCCCGTTCACGGCCTGGATGGACCTTCGTCGTGATGTAGAGGCGGCATGAGAGTGCCTCTGACGTAAGGCTGATGTCTTTCTCGATTAGGTCGTGACCCTGCTAGACCTCTTCTGCTTTCGTTTCTTCGGTCTTTCCTAGACTCCATTTGGACCGAGGTCAGACGTTGATTAGGTCCGTTGAGATCATCCAAGTCAGCCCTTACCTCGACATAGTAAGCGTTGTGTATCTCGTCCCAAGTGGTTGGAGGGTATTTCATGAGTCGGCTTAGCAACTTTTTGGTTGCCCGCGACCCACTTCTGCTCAGCCCATTCTAGAAAGCGGCCACTGCCATTCCTTCAGAAACGTTCGGAAGGGTCATTCTTACACGGTTGAACCGGGCGAGGAAGTCCTTGAGTCCTTCACCTAGTGATTGTTTAATGGCGAATATGTCGTTCACCCTTGCCTCCGCTTTCTTGGCCCCGGCATATGCGGTGACGAACTTGTAGGCCATTTCCTCAAACGTTTCTATGGAGCGCTTAGGTAATTGCAAGTACCAAGTCAGGGTCCCGCCGGTTAGGGTCTCTCCAAACTTCTTCAGCAATATGGAAGATACTTGTTCTTTTGCGAGGTCATTGCCTTTCACTGCAGTAACATATTGGGTCACATGATCCTCCGGGTCCGTCGTACCGTCATATATTTTCAAGTATGGTGGCATTTTGAAAGTTTTTGGTATAGCATGTGGTGCGGCTTCGTCGCTATACAGTTGTTCCACAAATCGGTTGGTGTCCCGCTTTGGTAGGAGTTTTGGGGCGCCCGGTATCTTATCTACCCTTTCTTGATGCTCTCTCATTTGGTAGCGGAGTGCTTTGTTCTCTTTCTCCATCTCCTCTATTTTTCTAAGGATGGTAGCGAGGGCGTCGTTAGCTGCATCATTAACGAAATAAGTGATACCTGTCGAGGGGGGCTGGGTGTGTTGCTCATTGGTTGTTGTGGCAATGTCAACTCGCACACCTTCCCTGCTCGCCATCTGAGCGGGTTTGTTGAGTATACTGTTCAGTGTACTTGTTAGCCATGCTTCTAGTAGCTTTTTTACCGTTGGTGGTGCTTCTTCCGTAGTGGACGTAGAGGCTCTCTTTCCAGGAGAAGCGGTAACGCTGCCATGAAGGGGGGGGGGGGGT